CCTTAGCACAGCCGATTAGGAAGGTGAGTGAGCCCTTAACCTGAGCGTTTTCGACGGATTCTTTTCCTTTTTCTTCACTGCCGGCCCACTTCGCACCAATACATTCGCATTCGTGTGCAAGAGCCACACCAATCGATCCTGGGGCATGCCTTCAAATTGGTTGGTTAGTTCAAATTTTATTTGGTTTCAATGATATCACAGGTCATAGCAACAGAAAGCAGTATCTGCGTTCATCCTACGATGCCTCATCCGAAGCGCGTCGTGATGATGTCCTGATCTATCCTCAGAATCAAAAACCTCCCCAACTCAACAAAGCTTTCCTCAGAAGGACAACAGGCAAAAAAGGGTCCATTGGGTTACTTATAGGCTAGGCTGCGAATCCGCCCTCCATTCTGTTTCTCAATTGGAAAACAGTACAAAGACGAAGAAAGGAAGGTTTAAGAAAAGTCATGTTTTCCTTGCATGAGAGTACTGGCAATTAGCTTGCGAACAGCTTGTCGCTACGCATTACCAGGGTGAAAATCGTGTCGAGGAAATAACCGCCTCTTTACGACCCCCCTCCAAAACATGGACTCTGATACGACCCCTTTTTGTCCTCTGCACATCCGGTTTCATATCAAAAAATGCTAGTTTCAGATGTGCGAGAGGGACGCAGCGCCGCTGCCACGCAAATGCTTGATCCAAATGCTAAACTCATTTCTGCTCAGATTAGCTTTTCCTTCTTTCCTACAAGACATTTAGGCGCAATGTGGCTCGGGGGGGGCAGTCGCCGCGCGCGATCTCTGCTCGTCCGCGCCCTGTAGTACTAAGCCTAGGAGTGGGCAGGAACTTTGGGAAGATGAAAATTGCTATGATCCTGGAGTCCTCCTCCCCTGCCCGAGGCTTAGTCCCGATTTAGCGAAGAGGAAATGCTTACACAGAAAAACGCAGAGATCGCGCGCGGCGACTGGCCCCCGAGCCACATTGCGCCAACATTTATTCTTTGCCACATTGGCCGGAAAGTAGAACATTGAAGGAGGTACTGCCCCTACACAGTTGAACAGTCTCGCGCTCCAGTATAGCGGCGCTAACTACCCGCGATCGCGTCGCGCGCTGTGCCTAGAGCGCGCTAGTTGGAAAAATCGTCAAATGTACCCCCTATTAAAGGACTATAACTTTCTTCATTGATAACCATTTCAAAAATGAAGGACAGCTCTCGGGATGCACAAGACTTCTAACTTCTTAATTACGCTGAGCATTTTTTTCAAAACATTTTCTCGACAGTTGGAGACACCGAGGAACTGTCGAAGTAATAGAAATTTACATGCGAGTTTCCACTCTTCAGAAAACTATTTCTTTATTGGCAATGCTTCGAAGAATCGAGGACAATCGTTGTAAAGCGAAGATTTACGCTTTTTGATAGGTGCTCCAGTTGTTTCGAATCGCTTTCTAGTTCGCGAGAAATCTGCGTCGAGGAAATGTCAAGGAAATTTTCGAAGCCACTCGAAAACTCTATTACTCCCTGCGTGTAGTAGGGAACTTCTTTAAACACCTTCAAAATGTTTCTGGCACACGTCAGTTCGATGAGGTTGAAAGAAAATGATCCACTTAGCGCGACCCATTCCGCTCTGGATTATGCGCCATGGAGGGGGAAACGGTCAATTCAATCGTCGGCTAATGAGGTCACGCCGCTCACGCGGCGGGCAGCGTCGCGCGCGGCAATGGTGCGGCGATTTTTGTATGGGCCTTGGCTTAACGGTCCTTGTCCATAAGTTGCTGGTGGGGTTAGAGAACTGATAAGACCAAAGTTCCAGACATCAGTGAGCCAACAAGCGTCACCTTAAGATCTCCGCAGTTATTTAAGCCTCACTGTACAGAGCTTGTGCCATGTAAAGGTTGTCCTTTTGAACATAATGAGACTTCTTTATTAATCAACTGCCTGAACTGTTATCAGAGAGCGATAATCCGGCTTAATCGGATAATATATTGCGTTCCAAGACGCACTGGAACGGTGAGGAAGGCATTAACATCAGTATGGGACAGAATAAATTGTGTAAAAATAATGGCAAGGGACCAGGTGATGATCATATACCACGTTTCACAACTGGAAACTTCATCTAATCGTGCACTCTCCCATGCTAGAACCATGAATTCTAGCTACGCGGCCGACGTCGCATCGCGGGCTGCGGCGGCTGGCGCGGCGACCTAGCCAATGGCACGATTGAATCGTCACGCACCCGCCATGGAGTGACCCCACTCGGAGTCATTTGGAAGGTGTTTTGTCCGACTTGCTTAAGCACACCAAAAGATATTTCCAAGTTTAACTAATTAGGACAACTCTTGTGGTCATAGTGATGTCTGATCATCCTTTATTCAAATCGCTTCCTTTCCGAACTTGTTCTGATGAATGACACGCTTGCGGCTGCAGTATTCTGATAATGTCATGCTGCGCAAATCTACCCGTTTTGAATCTACTAACGTCCTTTCTACGATTCTTTTGCAGGACGCGTTGCCTTCCTATGCCATACTGATCACTACGAACCAAACCAACAACCACTTTCCATTTGAATTTTAATTCCAGACAGTTGTAAGATATTATTTGCATTAGGCTAACTACAACACTTGTGAAACTAATGATGACAGCAAATAAGTGGCAGCAGCACCGTTGTGTCCGTTGATGAACCTTTTGATTACGACCCCCTCCACTCTCATCGGAGCAAATACGACCCCCTGTCGAGGATTTCCTCGACCGTTATTCACCCTGCGCATTACTCGAACCGCTTTTCGTCATTATGCCTAGAACTCGTCCAAATATTGTAACTTGGGATACTCTTCAACTAGAATTGCACACTTGTAACGCTACAAATCCGCCGTTTGCATTGGATTGGGGTGCTATGCGCTATGCAACCGAACCAGACAGAAATGTGAAGTTTGTCAGCGAGCGGATTTTTCTACCGATGCCACATTCAAAATGTGATAATCACCACCGAGGCCTTCCCAGCCACCCAAAGCGCCAGACTTGAAAAGGCTAGAAAGCTATCAGCTCGTTCATTAGCGATATTCAGATACCACTAGATCGTTCAACTTGTACGACATCTACTGACACTGTCACAAAAAAAATCAAAGATTCATCAGTTTAAACAGATCAGAATTATTAGACACAGGTATACGACAACGGTTCGAGATTGTGAAAAGGTGTTTTTCCTGCGTTAATAATAGAGATATGTGATGAGGTATAAGCAGAACCAGAAACATACTATATATACAAAACCAAGTAGGAATTTCATACAAATTAGCCCGCTCTCTTCAAGAGAACTTATTGAGCGAATTCTAGTGAATACAAACAATTCATCTCTAAGTAACGATGTTTACTAACACACTAGATTGAGACAAACGTAATCAACGGCTTGATCATATTCTATCAATAATAAACTTTTACGTGTACTCCGGATGTGCCCGTAGACAAGAGATCATTTCAGCAGGTTTAATTTCCCCTCGGCATATCCTGTGAACAGCGGTGAACAGGGGGAATCTGAAGTAAAACAAAAATAAAAACAGCAAGGTAAATTTAGGTAAATGAGAGATTCATCGATTTCACGTCAGCATTTTATAATCCGGAAGAAAAAATCGCGAGGCTTATCAGCACCCATCGGAACTTGGCAGCAGGAACTGGACAACAATCAGAAGAGGGTCTGGTTCACTGAGACAGAAAGCGACTTTTTCGCTTTTCGCAGCGCGAAACATTTTTCGCTGCGGGAACCTCAGGTCCACTCATGATCAGCGGTGGACCTGAGGTTCCCGCAGCGAAAAATGTTTCGCGCTGCGAAACGCGAAAAATCGCTTTCTGTCCTAGTGAACCACACCCTACTTCTCACAAGAGCTCACAAGAGTTGAACAAGGGCTAAGCAGATCTTTGCACGAAACTACTACACATTCCGACATAGCATCCAGAGAGCCAAGGGTGAACTAAGCCCCTAGAGTACATTGACACGAACCTTTGCGAAAGCTCAAAACATTATCCAGGGTCTTTATCAATTCCATTCTTGCACCCTTCCAGTTGGATCTCCTTTCGGCTTCCCCAACTTACAGTTTTATTCCTTTTTATGAAACTTGATGTGTAACTGGCAATGAGCAGAACGCCTGTTTCACTATGGAAATCGCACCGCAAACCCAGAGAATTAAGTACCCCAACTGTGGAGGAGCAGATTATCAATATATTCGCAGAAAAGACCGCATAAGAAAACAACGCTCATTCATGACTAGTACTGGAAGTCCAAATTAGAAGGATATTTCGGAAGAAAACCAGAAGGGCATGAACAGTGTCACAGGTATAGTCCATATCTCGAAGTCTGATTGGGCGTGTCACCGGAAATGACGTGGCAGCCACCGCACTTGATAGAAGTCGCGCGGATAAGCCGCTTCCAACATACTTCGCTGGGAATCAGCAAGCAGGGAAGCAGCTTATCCACGCAACTTCTATCAAGTGCGGTGGCTGCCACGTCATTTCCGGTGACACGCCCAATCAGACTTCAAGATATCGACTGTAATAGAGAGCAAGGATCGGACACGATAAATTCATCAAAAGCGGACACCATCTCATTTACAAAGAAATTGCAAAATCTAACCTCTAGCGCAGCCGGAATATATTTAAGGTGAAGCCCACAGCGATGCCAAGTCCCAAATCTTACGAATAGATGAGTAAAGAAAGAAAATAACAACACAACTATACTCACTTATCCGACACTCCACTCTTCTCCGTCATGAAAAAGACTTCGTGAGCAGTTAATGGACCTTGAGCACTTTGTCCATGTAGCAACTCTTTTTCGATCTGTGCAAGCGGTTTCCCCGTCTTTGCAAACGCTTCGCACACCTTTCGGTTACGACCACCATAGCACGTGGTGATCAGATCAGCGATGCCACATGATTCAAAGAAGGTTTCCAAATTCGAGCCAGGGTAGTAGTACTCAACAAACTAAAGTAAAGAACTTCATGGAAATAAACCGAAGAGACTCTCAAAACGAATTCCATAATAAACTCTAGAGCAGCATTACCTTGGTGATTTCCATAAGTCCTAACCGAATGACGGCCGCCTTCGTATTGTCCCCGTAACCAAGACCATCGGTGAAACCAGCAGCGCAAGCAACCACATTCTAAACAAACATTGCAGGCAGTAACAATTAAGGTCCAGACATTGTCTTATAATAAATCGCAAACTTGATATGGTTTCATCAATAAAATCACAAATTTTATTTGACATTTACCCTCAACCGCTTAGCAAAACTGAGGAGTCCAGTTTGTACGACATCAAGGTTTTGTATGTATCTGAGGGGCGTGAAAGGGAGGAAACTAACAGACTAACAGATCATTATAGTATATTTTCAAATAGACTTTCAATGCCTCATTTCCCCATATGGATGTTTATGATCGAATGACAAGCAACCCTTCACTATCAGAAACAGTCCCATTTTGTGCATGCGCACATCCTCCACGAGACGTTCACTTCACACATGAAAGTGAGAACAGTGGAAGGCGCAAATCATTCGCAGGGAAAAGGAGGTTACGTCGATTGTCGGGGAGACAGTACTGGTAAAACCGATTACTGGTGACGTTGCTTTATTTGTTCAGATACTGTTCGAACCAGATTTTCCAAAATAATTGTAAAACCAGGTAATCAAGCGCAAGGAAGAAAAGTGGTCAACACACCTTCAGCGCACCACAAAGCTCAACTGTATGCGCATCCTCCACCACGTTTATACGGAAATTATCACGGTTGAAAAGCTTTTTCAGGATATCACCATGTTCTGCCTTCTTCTTACAACCTGGAAATTGATGGAAGTGAGAAGAAATCTAGAGGTTGAAGAGCGCAGCACTCACCAATAGTTGGCTTCACAAAAATCATCGTTAGCGACTTCGTGAGCCAAATTCGCTCCCATCAAGACACTAACGTCAATATTTAGTATTTCCTTTAATTTCATCCGAGATCAATTTAACGCCACCGAGCTTCTCGGCGTATGGTGCCGCCAGACCCTGAAAGCGAAGTGCACTGATAAAAAAGTATGAGTGTGCTGTCTCCACCGTAATATTTTACACAACAAGGCACTGAAGTAATCATAATTGCGAATCACGATAGGACAGAGTGAATGAGACAACTATTTAGCGAAGCAAACTTACCATTTGAATATTTTCCTAAAGGAGTTCACCTCGATACATAACGAAGGATAATGGGCAAGCGGAAGGGGCAGTACTACAATACAAAGACCGAAGTGATCTAAGGAGAGCTGCTACGCTGGAGACTTTCGAGACTTCTAAAGTAAACCAAAACTTTGTGGAAGCCTGTCTTGGCCGATCACGTTTCGGTTGACTTAAATATGTTTCACTTTCTTCCTCATGCAAAACTACCTCCTTTCCGGTAATACATATACTAAGGAATAGAGAACCTCACCTTCTCAACCCCTTTATCCCTTGCCCCCTTTATCCAAACAGCCCCACAATGTCTCTCACTTTATTCTATTTTAGGTTTTACCACACATAGCGGAAACGGCTGAATGTTTTGTTTTACATCTAATGAAAGTTTGGCCTACCCTGGTCAAAAAAATCGAAAAGAAAAAACTACAACAGAAAAAAAGACATGCAATATGCAGTCACCGTGAACACCAAGACCAATTATCCACTTTCGGAGTCATTGTTTCTCGGGTATGGTTCATTAGGACAGAAAGCGACTTTTTCGCGTTTCGCAGCGCGAAACATTTTTCGCTGCGGGAACCTCGGGTCCACTGATGATTCGCTGCGGGAACCTCGGGTCCACTGATGATCAGCGGTGGACCTGAGGTTCCCGCAGCGAAAAATGTTTCGCGCTGCGAAACGCGAAAAAGTCGCTTTCTGTCCTAGTGAACCACACCCTTGTTTGGGTCTCCATCGAAGCATGAACAAACAAGCTCATCAACTATTACAGGCTTAACCCAAAATTTTGGCAGAACCGTGTCATTCCCAAACAGGTAACAGCGTATTGTACGTTCTCGACAACCGCACCCTCTCGCTATAACCACTCCGTACATATCGCTACTCCAATTGGATTATCCAGACAATGGCGTTAGTGAGAGAAGACTAGAAGGCACTACAATCCGAACCTCCCTGTACGCTGCTTCCTGTTTCGAAATGATTTTCAAAGCCGGTTAGATGTTCACAAAAAAAGCTAAAGAATTCACTATTACAAATGGTCAGAATGACGATTACTTTCAAACGGAACCAAACTAAACTGAAACAGCAAGCAATGTCTTTGCTATAATGCGGAAGCCTCCTTAAAAGGTTGATTTTGGGAAAATGCTTTCAAGCTATACTTCTCTATCATATGTGAAAGGTAACTTGGATCTAACTGCTGGACATCGCAGGGGCTCCTGATACTTGTGTAGGCGATTTCATTATTCAGATTCAGACAGATTTCACACGAAAACGCTGAAGGTTTTCACCTTTTCTCGTGGATCAGGTTTTGCAGCAATGCCCTGAATAGAAACACACTACTAACAGACAACTATGAAGTTTAGTATAGAAGTGTAATCAAGAATTAATCAAAATTAAAATAAGCCCGGTCCAAGTGTAGTTGGGAGGGGAAGGCATCACCGCGCGGTAGCCCATCCCAGCAAGAGATGCAGTTTTTTGGAAAGATTCTGGTCTCGAAGCTTCTGGAGGATGAAGCATGTCGACTAGGCACCTACAGTGAAGAAAAAGAACACCTAAAGTGTGGAAAAATGTGTGAAATCACAGGGGTCATGATCCGCTGATAAGGCGAGATAACGCAAAGGAGAACATCGAGTTGTGGTGGCTTAATGACCGAGTTCAGGTAGTCTGTCGACCCAATTGTATGACGCCAGATAAATACACCTGGGACTAAGCCACGAGCATGCGCTCCCCCAGGAAAAATCGAACATGTCGCACAAATCCTCCTTTCTCCCTTGGCCTAGGGTTCAATCTCACCTGTAGCAGAAAGAGGCTTTAACGCGTTTCTAAATATGCTGCCTACGCAATGACTCCCTGTCTCGCGATAGCACCTGGAGAAGTTTGCCATTTTCTGATGTTCTGAGTGTGCCTAGATCCCAAGCCCGCCCCGCCCCTCCGCCAATTACACTTGAACCCCAGCTTAAAACTAAGCAGTTAATTGCCAAAGTTCATGCAGAGTAAGCAAAGTAGGATAAAGGCTAAAGATATTCTACATGACATGAACTAAGAAAAAGAACGACGGAAACGATTCAAATGGAATCTACGGCGTGAACACTCGGGGTTCGGTGTGCAGGAGGTGTGGGGCACGCGACTAAGCCTCTGTTTGTCTGCTGCCTCCCATGGCAGGAAAGGCTTTGTTCACACGGGGCAGTTAATGTTTCGCCATTATGTGACTCGTTTCCAAAATACGCCGCCATCGTGTGACTCAGCCGTGTTGGGCGGTGATTTCTATATGCCTTTACCGTAAATCCCCCAGAGGGGTTGGAGGGACGGAAATCCCTTTAAATTTTCCCTGTCTTCCCAGAATGGGGTTGTCCTGATAAATGGCCTACGTTTAATGTATTTATGTATGTCAATGTAATCATGCGTTGAAAATGAAGAAACTACATCGTTCTAAACAAATAAATTCAAAGGGATTTTTCCGTACCCCGCAAGCGTCCCTGGGAAAAATATGAATACCGCACCCCCCTTTGGTAGAGCAGGCCCGCACAACGCCCGCCGCCCGCATTTCACAATGAGCCCCCCCCCCCTCCGAAACCCAAGTTTCACCTGGAACTGCTATTAGACTCAAAAGCTGAATCAAGAGTTATAAATATAGAACCAAAAAATTAAAAATCGTTCCATTACGAACCTTTATCAGCGAGATGGCTTGCACATCCGAGCCAATTTTGCCTTCAAGTTGATGACAAATTTCTGAAAGGAGCAAATAGATAATCGTGGATAGGCAAACGAAGACATCGCCTTCTTACTGTTAGTGAATCTCAATTCTTAAAATACTAATTAAACATACTTCTGACAAACTGGTGAGGTACAACAAAGATTAAAATGTTCGCCTCCTCACACGACTCCACCAAATCCGGAACAGCAATCTGAAATCAGGTTATATTCAATTGAATAATGAACACCACAGCATAAGAAAGAAGTCACGCAATAAGAACCTGGCGATAAATATGCCGAGAAAACTTTGGAAAACAAAAATGACGCTCAAACATTACTCGCTCCTCAGAGGTCAATCAAAACAGCTGATCTTTAACAAAACAGCAGCTGCTGAGCGGTTCCAATCAGTAAGACTTGTTGCGGTCTTCAACGATAGCGGGGTGTGGTTCAGTAGGACAGGAAGCGACTTTTTCGCGTTTCGCGCGCGAGACTTTCCGCTGCTGGAACTCCCTAGGTCTACATCATGTCAGCCAGTGACCTGAGTTCCTTGCAGCGGAAAATGTTTCGAAGCTGCGGACCGAGAAATGTCGCGTTTCTGTCCACGTGAGCTACAACTCGATCGCTACAAATTGCATGCATTGATGTGGGATTCTCTCGAACATTTATTGCTGGTTCGAATCCTCCTTTGGGACCTTCTGTAATCCCATGAACCAGTCATCATATGTACTATACTTCGAGTGTTTAGTTGAGTTTCAACCTCATCACTGTCTTGTACAATCGTCGTAAACCATTCAGAAACAATTTGACAAAGAACTTCGCAGCAAGCTTCAGGGACTAGCCTACTCTGAGCAAATTAGTTCCTACTTCACCAATATGTCTGGAATAGGTTTTCCTGGCAAGTATTTTCACATTTTCATGAACGGGGCTTGATAATTTGTGATAGCTTCTCGCCTCCCACAATCTCCTCGAACACCTGCAAAGCACAACCATTAATGCACTGGTGAAGGAAAAATGCCTATGCTGGAGCAGTATGCTGTACCTCCCTGCCGGCGAATGGGAGTAAAACCAAGTTTTATCTTTGCAACCAGGAAGTCTCGAGATCCTCGGTGGCTGCCACGTCATTTCCGGTGACACGCCCAATCAGACTTCGAGATTTGGAGTGTATTTGAAGCATGCGTATGCATGTAAAAAAGAAAAAAGCAAAGAAAGTCTCCACGGAAAGATCAAAGATTTTCCCTCTCCTTCAGGAAGGTTCAGCATACGACCCCCAGTGGTCGCGGTTACATCTACCCTCCCTTTCAAAAAACGAGAAAGCGTCGGGTGCAGACCATACACCACAAGTGACGACGGCCTCCAAGTAAATCTGGTTAGTAGTGGTTCAGTGATAGCTGATTTTTGGTAAATGATAGTTGTAATTAGTGACAACTGATAGAATACAACTGCAACAGGCTAATCATTTCATTGGCAGAAAACATTTACATTTTGTGGAGGCCGTCGTCACTTGTGGTGTATGGTCTGCACCCGACGCTCTTCTCGTTTTTTGAAAGGAGTATACACTACGTGGTGTTGACTGGAGATACAGTCCATATCCGAGAGTTGGGGTAGGCGTGTCACCGGCAGCAGCCGCACTTGATAGAATGTCGCGTGGATAAGCTGCTTCCAACATACATCGCTGGATATCAGCAAAGCATGCTGGCAACAGCTTATCCACGCAACTTCTATCAAGTGCGGCAGCAGCCACTCATCCGGTGACACGCCTACCCCAACACTCGGATATGAACTGTACAGCGGTAAAATCGAATTTTTCAGTAAACACTATCAAATGACCAACTCAGATGCTATTTTTCTGTCTATTTCACAAACTCTTTCTAGCTTTTGTATAATACAAACTACATATTACCTCTATTTCGAAAACGAGAAGAGCGTCGAGTGCAGACCACACACCACAAGTGACGACGGCCAAGAAAAAAGTGGCTTTTTTTTCTTGGCCGTCGTCACTTGTGGTGTGTGGTCTGCACTCGACGCTCTTCTCGTTTTCCGAATAGAGGGTATATGCAGAGTTATAGGTGCTTAAAGCCGCTCTTGTGTGCCCTCTAGTACAGCGTGCTCTCTCTGCGTTTTCTGTCTTGTCTGCTCGCTCTGAATC